ATTATTTTTTATATTAATAATTTATTTTTTTATAAGGATAATTTTCATATTTTAAATAAGTTTCATTAAATTCAATTATTTCCTTATCAAATCTCATCACTTTTGGTAAAAAAATAAAGAGATGTATCTTATTTTTACCCCTATACTTTTACACGATTTTCAATGACCCCCAAACTACTCTTATTTTCACGCATACCCCCATACTATTTAAGTTACTATCAATTTTTCCTCTACCGTTACATTTGAAACGAAAAACATTAAAAATATTACATTTTGGCCCCAAATTTCAAAAAAAAATATGCAAACCCACCATTTGCTACCAGCAAACTACCACCACCACCACTACCAACCACCACTTCAAGCCCTTTTATCTCCTTCGTCATAACTCTGTTTCACCTCATTTTTACGTCACTGGATTCAACTTACGATCTAGTTTTCATATCACATCTCACACGTTTCGTTCTTCCTCTTTTGCATGCTATCGGAGCTCTGAAAGTTGATTAAAAAAAAAAAAAAAAACTTTTCTTCTCATTTTTTACTTTTCTTCGAGCCATCATTCAAACTTCATATCTTTCTCGATTATTGACGGTTCTACTTCATTCTTTCGCCATTCTCTTCACCCCACTTCCCACTTCGCCCTACACTATCTCGCTTTCTCACTTCTTCGTGTAATGGACGGTTTTGGCATACCGAAAGTTGTCCGAAAACTAATTTTAAAAATTTCAAAACATTACAACTCATATGGTGCAGTTCTATGAAAAAAAGTGTTTGGTACATTTCCCTTGCATCTCTCGCCACCATATCTTGACAATCCCATTTGCGGAGTCGGTGAAGACCAACCCATCAAATCCGGCAACCACCGCATTCACCGCGTCATCATGAACATGAATTGATTCCAAGCATTTTGAATTCGATACTCTCCAAACCTTCATTGTCTTATCCCAAGAAGCTGAGTATAACAAAGATTTGTCTTCGCTCAAACTAAGACATGAAATCATATCGAAATGTTTGATCCAAATCTTTCGATTTCTTCTCACCTCAACATAATTGCTCGGATTGATCAAGCTCTTTATATAAGGTTTCAACGTGGGTAAAGTCGAGATTCGTTTGTGAATTGTTGGATTCTTCGCAGACACTTTCCATAATCGAATCTTCTAGTCTTGATGGCCTGTGAAAATGATTTCATTTGCAATTACAATGGCTTTAACTAACCCACTATTCAATTTGAAACCAAAAAACTCCTCTGATTCTTCCATACCTGAATGTTCTTGCTATCAGAACCAGTGTATAACAAGTCGCCAGAGGTGGCAAGCGAGTATATATAGCCTTCTTTACGAACAAGAGAACCCATTAGGCCTGTGTATGAATAGTAATCGTCGATTTAGAGAACCCATTAGGCCTGTGTATGAATAGTAATTGTCGATTTGAGCGGCGTGAGAGGACCATGGAGATTTCGATAATGGCGAGGATTCGTCCCAGGAAGTCGAGTTTGGTGGAGAAGTGTTAGGAGGGCTGGTTTGCATCTTTCTTTTGAAATTTGGGGCCAAAATGTAATTTTTTAAACATTTTCCGTTTCAAATGTGACGGCATGGGCAAAATTGATAATAACTTAAATAGTATGGGGGTACACATGAAAATAAGAGTAGTCTGGGAGAATCATTGAAAATCGCGTAAAAGTGTAAGGATAAAAATGAAATAATCTCAAAAATAAAACACAACTTTGGTCTCACCATCTATCTTACTTAACCATCTAAACAAAGGGTTTCCAATTCTCAAACCAAATCCGTCCATCCAAACAGAGTGTTAACCAAACAGAGATTATTAAAGTAGTGCCAAGAATAAAAACCTAACAGTTCACAAGTAGTAAGCAATAACAGTTCAATGATAGAAAAGTTCACAGTTTGAAAACTCTGCTATACTCTATTTTGTTCTAAACTCTGCTTGGGCTTTCAATCTTTAATGCGGAGGATGGTGGTCGCAAGACATAGGAGAGAGGGTGAGAGAAGATCGGTGATTGTTGGTCGCAAGAGGACAGAGGAGGGAGGAGGAGATCGGTGGTCGGATCTCGTTGTCGATGTAAAAACTATCCAAACAATCAAACTGATTAGTTAAAAATTACTCAAAAAATCTTCCAAAACCCTCAAAATTCCTTCATTTGAAAATACAAACATACTTATTGAATATTTTTTTTCACAAATCTATCATACTCACACAACATGTATGGAAGAGATTTGTTAGAGAACTTACTTGGAAGTCCTAAATAATAAATAAAATTAATTAAAATCTTTCAACCCTAGCCGTGACTCAAATCCTTATCTTTTTAATTAATGGTCAATCAAAACTAACGACATTGTGCATTCTACGTGTGGAGGAAAAAAAATGTAAAATGACACAACTTTGATTGTTCATCTTTATTTTTTTATTTTTAAATTGTTTTATTTACACATAATTTATGAATTTTGTGATTTATTTATCGGGGAAATATTACATTAGTGCAAATCAATGAAAAACTTTATAAATATTAATAATTAAAAGTGTAAATTGGGATGTAATTACCCCTTATCTATAAAGAATAAAAAAATAAAAATTATATATTATTATAATTATCATTATAAAAAAAGTTATTTCATAATTTACGTGCCTTAATAAAGTATTAATATTATCAAAAATGATTCGTAACTCGAAAGAAATGAGCTCGAATGGCCCGAAAATGCCTCTCTACCAGTTTTCTCTTCTCTTCTCTCCTCTCTATCTCTATCTATGTTTCCTCTCCTCTTCTCTCTCATCTCCTCTGTTTCATTCAACTGTACTCATACATACATGAATAGAATGCAAAAAGTGAAACTGGGATTAGAAAGTAATGGAAATGAGAAGAAGCTCTAGATCTGAAAAGAAATTAGGACCACAAAAGAACTTCCTCTCTCTTCTCTCTCTTTCTCTTTCTCTTCCTCTCTCTTCTATGCTTTCTCTTCTTCTCTCTTCTTTGCCTTTGTTTCAAAGATCCAATAGGGAAAAAAATATAAAAAATAATCTGTGGGTTTGGTATTTGATTTGGTTTTGAATTTAGATTTGATTTTGATTTTGTTAAACTGTGGGTTTGGTTTTTGATTTGGTTTTGATTTTAGATTTCATTTTAGATTTAGATTTAGATTTTGATTTTGTTAAACTGTGGGTTTGGTTTTGGATATGGTTTTGATTTTAGATATAATTTTAGATTTAGATTTAGATTTTGTTAAACTGCTGTTGAAGAAGAAGAGAAGGGTTTTGTTAAACTTCTTTCTATAATTTTTTAGTAGGGGGAACAAAGAAGAGAAGGAAGGAACGAAGACCAGGGAGAGAAAAAAAAAAAAGAACGTTTTGGCATCTCGAGCCATTCGGGCCAAAAGCCATTCGAGCTGCCTAGCAGAACTCTAATATTATGGGTTGAATTTCTTTTAAATTCAAATTTAAATTTGACTGTTATGATTGGACTGATTGGGAACACCACGAGTCCCATTTCAATGATCAAAATCATTTATTTTGTGGAGTTCTGTTTAATAATTGTAACATTTCTAATTTATTGTGTTTGTCCCAAAAAAGGGCTAGTATAAGTATGTTTTTGAAAATAGACCATCTATTTTTTTTTAAACAAAGGTGACAAAATGAAGAGATTATGACTATCTAAATTGACTTAATTTTATTTATTTATGAATGATATACAAAATAAATAGCTTTGATTATCAAGACCCATGGTAGGCCCTACAATTCCAAACATGACAATGGCCAAGCTCAAATTTAAATTTGAGACAAATCCATCCCTAATATTATTTAACTATTTGATTTTAAATTTTCTAAATTTATTTTTTATGTTGTGTGATATATTGATAAATGTTTCACAACCATCTTATACTATGTTCAATTCGCTAGAATGCAATGCAATAAAGTGATTATTCCATCATAATGTTTATTTTCATATTTGAGTCACTAAAAAAAATAAAAAATGTATTTTAAAAAAAATCATCAATTAACCTTTGAAAAGAAAAATATTTGAAAGCACATTTTTTTTTTTTTTTTTGATTTTGAGAATTTACATGAGTTGGGAATTAAAATTTTATCAACTGACTTTTGCATTTTTTTATATTGATAATTATAAGAATATAATTATTTATCTTTTATACACTACAAGCAATGAACAAAGTGAATAAGGATATACAAACCTTTTTTCATTATGTTTTTGCCCTTTCCTTCCTTTCCCTTTCTTGTATCTGATTCATGAAACCTATGAAAGAAGAATGAGAAGGTTGAGTTTATTTTTATCTTTAATGTGGTTGAAGGGTGTTTTGATAATTTTCACAAGCAACTTAATGTCGTTTGGATCCTTTTAACGAGAGAGAGGAGAATCTTGGTATTATTTTGGAAAGTAGAGGAGTCCGTATAATTATTAAAAAAAAAAAAAAAAACTATAATTATAATAGTAAACCTCAGGAGAAAGTGTAACTTACCCTACTTTTTATTTTAATTTTTTTGTTTTTTTCATTTAAAGCTAGGGGCTAGCGTATTGTCATGGCCCACACCACATTGTCCATGGATTGTTGTGGGTTGAATTGACCTCTCTAATTAAAAAGCCTATTGAAATTATTTTGGAGAAATTAAAAAAAAAAAAATTAGGTTTTAAATTTTGTCATAAAATAAATCTTATACTTTTAATTTTATCAATTTGAATCTTAAATTTTTATTTATTTTTAGTTTAAACTATTTATCTATTTTTATTAAGTAAAATTAATAAAATAATAAATTTTTTTATCATAAAATTCAATAAAAATGATATTTCAAACATTTTATGTATATTTACATAGAGTTTAATGATTAAAATATATATATATTTTTAATTTTACTTAATGAAAATAAGTAAATGGTTTAAATTAAAAATTAATCAAAATATTAGAATTTAAGTTTTATTTTGTTACAAGATTGTAACTTTGGAATTTCTTTGTAATGGACTTCCCAACTTTCTCTTTCTTCTAAAGCTCTTTTTTTTTTTCTTTCCCCTTTTAGGCCAACACCACATGGATTGTTTTTTTGAGAACGAACAACCACAAAATATTATATGATGACATTAATTACATCGGTTGCCAGTTTATGTGCCGGTGTAATTACATTCGGATCAACTTTACTAATACTAAGATAATCAAAATCCTTATAAGAGTTAATAATATCATTAACAATAGACATAATCTGCCAATCTAACATTGTGCCTTTACTCTGAAGGATGTGAACCAAGACTTGGCAATCAGTTTGAATAATTAACATTGAAATCCCAGACTGCCTGCCCGAAAGCCTCCAGACAGGCCATTGCTTCTGCTGCTGTCGTACAAGGAAGAGGATTCACTCTTGCTGCATTTGATATATGAGCTGCCCTGTGTGATCCACATAGACCCACGCTATACCAGCTTCTGTCTGAGCCGATTTTCATGCTCCATCCGTGATAAGCCTCAACATGGTTGTAGTGTTCATCTGTTCGCATGCCTGATGGAAAACAAGATGATTATATTGTTTACTGCCTTTCCTACATCAGCATCACAAAAACTAGCAGCATTAGTGCGAAAAGAAATTGCCCAAGCAGACAGGTTCCTGGCATCTTTGATGGTGCCCTCAATATTCCTAGGAGTAGAGTTGAAAACATAACTGTTCCTTTGTAACCAGATAGCCCAAAGAAGAGCAACCGATTGTACAATAATCTATGTGTCTTTGATTTGCTCAATCCATGTTGTGAACCACCTGAAAAAGGGGACTGAAACTCCAGAACTGAAGTCCAAACCCACTGTGAGAAATCGCATGAAAAAAACAAATGTTCGATAGTTTCATCGGGTCTTGTGGCATCGAACACATTTTGTCTCAACCACTATTCCTCACTTTTTTAGTTCCCACTGTACTGGAAGCAATCTATGAAGACACTTCCATCTAAATAAAGCCCATTTCGGAGGGAGCCCTAGTTTCCACAATTTCTTCCATACCATTTGATCTCTATTTTGTTGTCCATAAATCGGAAAATAACAAAGCAAGGCTTGTTTATATCCCGATTTGACAGAATATTTCCCACTCTTAACTGGTCGCCAAATCAATTTATCCTCACTGCCCTCTGGCAAGATGTGTTGATAGAATACGTCTACTACATTCATCAGGAAAAAATAATCTAATCAAGTTATCTCGCCAACATCTGTGTTCATGGTCAATAAAATGCGCTACCTTCATAGAAGGCAACATCCTATTCATGTTCCTCCCTCGTAAAGGATTAGACATCAACGGTATCCATTGATCCTCAAAAGGAGAGAGATTTTTACCATTACCCACAACCCATTGAACCCCTGTGTTTAAAAGGTCTCGACCCCATAAAATACTCCGCCATCCCCATGTAGATTGACTGTTTTGAGGGACTTGCAAGAAGGGATGATGCTGACAATATTTGCCTAACAGGACTATAGACAACAATAAATTTGGATTGGACACTATTCGCCATGCCTGTTTAGCCAATAAAGCTTGATTAAAACATCTAAGATCCCTGAACTCCAAACCACCCCAATTGCAAGGAAAACACATGGAGCCATTTCTTCCAATAGATGCCTCGGTCACGGTTAGATTTCCATAAAAAGTCCTGTACCAATTTAGTCAGTTTAGCAATAAAGGAATTGGGCATCTTAAAGGCCGACATTAAATATACTGGAATGGAGTGCAACACATGTCGGACCAATACAAAATTCAAGAGATCACACTTCCAGCCTCGTAATTTTCCTTGTATTTTGTCTATAAGAACTCTAAAAATCTCGCCTTTCGACCTGCCTCAAAATCCTAAATTAGCCCCCAAATACACCCCTGGCTGTACCACCAATTTCACACCCAACAAAGACGCAAGCCAATTTTTGAGATGATTCAGCATATTCGGACTAGGGCAAAGTTCAGATTTTTTAAAATTAATATGCAAACCCAACTGATCACCGAATGCACTCAAGAACCATTGCAAGCACCAAACTTCGGACATGTCAAATTTCTGGATAATAAAACAATCATCTGCAAATAACAGGTGTGAAATAGCCGGGGAATGTCGACTAACAGTAATACCTCGACAAATACCTTGATTTGACAGGTGCTGAAACCCATCTGTTAAAGCATGCATGACTAGCAAAAATAGGTAGGGTGAAAAATGATCACCCTGTCTTAGCCCCACAAGTGGTTGAAAATATTCAGTTTGGGTCCCATTAAACAGAATTGAAAAAGTTACCGACTCAAAATACATTGAGAAATCAATAACACCCATGTCGACGAAAATCCCATTTTAGTTAGTACTGCTATGAGAAATTCTCAATTGACCCTATCATAAGCCTTATTCATATCCAATTTCAAACCAAAGACTCGTTTACCCCCATCTCTTTTTTTTCTTGATGTATTCAACAAGCACATGGGCCAAAAGAATATTATCTGAAATTAATTGTCCTTTTAAAAACGCACCTTGATTGAAAGAAATCAAATCTGGTAAAGATATTTCTTAATCTATTTGCCAAAACTTTCGCCCCAATTGTATATAACACATTGCAAAGACTAATGGAGCAATAATCAATCACCGTTAAAGGACTCTTTGTTTGGAATTAAGCAGAGAAGTGTTTTATTTAAGGCCCTACTCAAAAACCCGGAGCAAAGAAAATTTAAAACAGAATCTCCTACGGACTCACCCACTTCTACCCAGTACTTTTGATAAAAACCTGCTATGAAGCCATCTGGCCCTGAAGCCTAAAATTTGCCCATTTGGAAAACAGTAGTTTGGACTTCATTTAATGTAAAAGGTTGCTCTAGCAATTCAACCGGGGATGATAAAAGTTTACATTGCATAGCATTTAAAATATTAAAATGAGAAGGATATGAACCTGTATCCGATGAGTCCTCAGCTAAGCTTCCAGATGGTGAAAATAATTTCTTGAAATGATCCACAAAAGCTGCTTGAATAGCCTTTGGTTCAGTAAGAACATTACCATCCACATCCCGCACACAGGTAATATGATTCCGAATCCTTCTCCACGATGCCATTTTATGAAAAAAATTTGGTGTCGCGATCACCTAATTGCAGCCACTGTTGCTTTGAGCGTTGCGCGCCCAAATCCCCAATGACATGGATCGGATGTATGTTAGCATCTCTAATTTGCTTCTTAGCAATTGTTGCCGATGCTCTCTCTGCATTTCCAAACAAAAACTTTGGTTTCTGTGCAAATTCTTCACTATCAATGCCGCTACGCTGACGCTGTTAAGTGTAGCAATGAAGATGCCACTGGATTTGAGTAGTGACATGTACGGAGGAAGCGATCAACTTGCAAAACTTAGCAGTACAGTCATGGCATAAAATTACCTATTATAATACATATCATGACCGTGTTGCTAAGTTTTGCAAGTTGATCGCTTCCTCCATACATGTCACTACTCAAATCCAGTGGCATCTTCATTGCTACACTATAAGCTAAAAAATGGACTCAATTGGTTCATTTTAAGTATGAGAAATTTGTCATAAAATTTCATTTCACGATTCTTAATTATTATATGCAATTTACATATATGTATAATAAATTTTATTTTTGTTTTTGTATAATGACTATAAATTTATTTCCCTCTAAGTTTTTAAATAAATTTATGGAAAAATCACATATCAGTGAATTTTTGAAAAATTAATTACCAAATCTTGAAAAACTTTATAATTTTAATTTTTAATTTTTGTAAAATTTATCATTAATTTAAAAATATTTTTTCAAGCATCCACTTAAATGAAATTTTTCCTAAATTTATTATGATTTAATGTAAGTCATTTTTCAAGCATCCATTTATGAATTCAATGTAGTCCAAAATAGTGTAATAAACTCTTATTGTAATATACGTGGAGAATTTTTTCATGTCTGATGGGAGTGGGAAGGGTTGGACTTAAAGGGTTCCTACCTGTTTTGGATTGTAGAATACACAAATTTATTTTGTAGGAACTCACATGCAGAGGGTCCATCATAAAGAATTGTGAGAAGAATACTAATATGTGATTACAATTAACTCTATATATGGTAGTTAATCAGGTGTAACGAAAAAAATTTTACGAAAAAATAAAAAAAACAGGGTGTCCACTAAAAATTAATTTTTTTTTTTTATTTTTTGTATTTTTTGTGCAATAATTTATGATCTATGGTTGTTAGGAAAGATGAGAGGGAGACGATATAAATGCTTTAGAGCTCTAATATTGGAGTTCTAATAGCTCTAATGGAAAGTGGGTTCTACTCTGATATAATATTTTAGTCTTATTTTTTTTATCAATAATATTTGAGAGCTCTAATACAACTCTAATGATGTGGAGAGTACTCATGTGAAGGTGGGGCTCACACTCCTCTCTTTATTTCTCTCTACTCTATTTTTTCCACCTCACTAGAGCTCCATTTAGAAATTGAAGTTTATTACACTATTTTGGACTACATTGAATTCATAAATGGATGCTTGAAAAATGACTTACATTAAATCATAATAAATTTAGGAAAAATTTCATTTAAGTGGATGCTTGAAAAAATATTTTTAAATTAATGATAAATTTTACAAAAATTAAAAATTAAAATTATAAAGTTTTTCAAGATTTGGTAATTAATTTTTCAAAAATTCACTGATATGTGATTTTTCCATAAATTTATTTAAAAACTTAGAGGGAAATAAATTTATAGTCATTATACAAAAACAAAAATAAAATTTATTATACATATATGTAAATTGCATATAATAATTAAGAATCGTGAAATGAAATTTTATGACAAATTTCTCATACTTAAAATGAACCAATTGAGTCCATTTTTTAGCTTATTCTATGAAAATATTCATTACAAAAATGAGTAAACTATAGAGAAAATGTTAAGTTATGAATTTAAAGTCTAACCAATTAACACCAAATTTTCATAGTTTCAGCTTAGCCAACTCAACTTGTTTTGAAATTGTTAACTTAATACAATATTCTGTCATCTATTATAAGGAAAAATTAAATTGACATATTAAGGCTAAATATTAATCTTAAAAAGCTTCATTTTGCAAGACCTAACTTAAAATGAAAATATTCTACTTAATCAAAGAAAGCAAAATGGTGCATTTTGCACAATATAAACATAGATGTGTGCCAATTAAACTTTACCTAGTGCAAATCCAATCACCGGATTTCCATCCAGAGCGATTGTTGCCACTGCCGCCACTGCCACCTCCGCCAAACCCATAACCTCTTGCACGGGACAAATCACCATCGAAGCCACCTGACGATTCCTCCTTAAACATGCCGCATTTGAAGCAGCTCGAGCGACTGGCAAAGTTATGGGCACCACAGTTGCCAACAGCACAATACCAATCACCCGGCCTCACATCAGGGCCAGTAAATCCAAATGGTGAACCACCTCTCCCACCAAAACTTCCATAGTCACCTCTCTCTCCATGTTTCGGCTCCCCACATCGGTGACATGAATCTCTCCTCTGGAAGTTTAGGTGCTGGCATGACCTACAGTTCCAATCTCCTGGCCTGCTCATCTTTCCTGTCTCAAGAATACCACACACACAAAGAGAAATCACAAAGAAGCACTTCTATTTGCAAAACCTAGTATTCTACATTGGTAAGAGATAATAGAACTTATGTATCTCTTGTTAGTCAACTAATACTAGTGAATGAACCAGCAAGTAAACATACTAAACATAGTTTTGGTGTTAGATCTGCTAGATTCAGGAGAGAAGTGCCCCAAATTGTGTAGTCTGCTAGCTGTATATGCTGATCAGTCAGCTGTGGTTGTCCATATGTTGTGTAGTCTGCTGCCTAGTTTTGGTGTTAGGTCTGCTTGTTCCGTTTTTTTCCTCTGCAGTTTGGTGTTTGGTTGTTAGCTTCGGTTGCCTTTCTTTTTTCTGTTTCTTTTGTCTTGTTTGTTGGTTTCTCACCAACTGGCGCTTGGAGCTTCTGTTAGCTCCAAGCTCCTCTTTATTGATGTTCTGTATCTTTTTTTGGTTACTTTCATCAATAAAGATTTTCTTTGCCGATCAAAAAAAAAAAGTAAACATACCAAACTAGCTAGTGGTGTTAATATACCAAACCTATAACATGTAAGAAAAATGCTACTATAATGTTAAAAATATATGAACTTGTTTTGGAGAGAGAACGGCCAAACATGAGCTGTAGAACCAAGAGTAATTTAATAAAAACAATGACATGGACTCACCTTGAGAAAACAAAGAGAGGGTATGCACCGAATGCTAGAAGTTGAAGAAGAAGAATAGATTACAAAGAAGGTTGGGTGGTGATTTTGGTTGAGGGATGGTGTGGTTTATATACTTGCTTAGGCCTCGAGAATCGAGCGGATTGAGGCAGCCAGTGGAGGGCTATGGGGTGTTCCTTTTTATATTCTTGTTCTTCACTCTTCTTTTTTTTTTCTTTTTTTTGCTTTGTTCTTCACTTAGCATCCTTGAACAATGGAATCACATAATTAAACTAAAATATAAAAATGAAAAAGATCAGAGGAAAAAAAATTTTATGTAGGATGCTAAAGAGAGAAAATATTGTAAAATTTGATAAAGCTTTTTCTACTGGTTTCAAGGCTTGTGGAGGTGGGAAGTGTACAAGTCATAGGGAGCTTTTAGGGGAGCTTCTAAATACATCCATTGTATTTCTCATTACACCAACATTCTCTCTATATTGGTACATGAATTTCTCCACTAGATATACAAGGGCTACATTGCTTGAGGTGGATGTAAAAAGAAATTTAGTTTTTTTAATTGGCACACATCCACTATTTTAATTTTTTAATTGTAAATAATTTTGTTCAAATGTTTCTATAATTTAAAATATATATATATATATATATATATATATCTTTATATAAAATAATTTAATCAGGATAGGCCATAGAGTTACTATTTTTGCTTACTTTCTAATTTGTACTTCAAAATCAAACTATTTTATTAGTCAATTATTAATTTATGAATAAAAACCCTGATCTAGAATTGATTTTTTTTCGGACCAAACTATTTAGACTTGAGAGACTGCTCAACCATAGTTTAAATTTTTTTTCTTCCATTTTCAAAAGTAATGCAGTTTAATAAAATTTGGAAAAAAAATTAAGGATCAGGCAAGAAAAAAAATATTAGAATTAGAATCAACCAACATATAAATTACTAAAACATGAAATCAATCAACCAAAATATTAGAATTCTTTGATATATTGAGTCTGAAACTATAAATATAATTACCCAGTCTGACATCCATCACCATTCATGTTCATACAAACATAATCTTCACTAAGGAGAGATCAAAAGAAGCAGGGTTACATACCTGAGAAGAGTTCAGATCATTCTTCTTGCACATAAAACTCAAAGCACGACCGATGCTGCTCCGACGACGACACTGCTCCTCCTCCGCTGCTCCGACGCTACTCCTCCGCCGCTCGCCGTGGGGTAGGGATTGAGATTGGGGATTTGTGGGTTTGTGGGTTTGAAGAGACTTCAAGGCACCATCTCCACCACTGAAATCCCTCAAGATTTCAGTGGTGAGGAGGCCCAAACACCAAAGTCCCGAAACTAGCACAAAATAGCAGAGAGATACTAGTCATTACAGTTTATTCTTTTATTTTAACTTTCTTATTAACTTTTGTTATTTTTTTTATAAAAAATTGATAACTATCAAACAAATAATTCTTATGTTTTAACAAAAGTAAAACGGAGGATACTGTAAAAAAAAAGTCTTGAATCGGTAAGCAACGTCCGGCCAGACTCTTCTGGGCGGATATCCGATTATCCAATCGCCGTGTTTAGCGATGAACAGTTGCTCTGTTCAATCAAAGAGTTTACTGTATCAAATTTAGCAAAACTTAATTTACAAAGAAATTTGTTGAGATTGATGGAGAAAGGATTTGATGCTGATGCTCTCTCCAATAGTTTCAAAGCTATTGTAAGAGAGCCTGATGCGCATGCTCTAAGGGTTTAGTTGGGGGTGTCCCTTTTTTGAATTTTTTTGGTTATTTATTTTGAGATTAAAAATTTCGTTTGAGATAGGTTTTTAAATTTTTTTGACTTTCTTGTGAAGAAAAAATAAATGATTATGATTTGATGGACATTTTGTCTTATTATATTAAAATTATTTTATTTTTTTAATGTTATTTGTAGCAAAAATCCATTTTAACTTATTGCCAAACTAAAAGCAAAATTATTAAATACCTATTTTGTAACATGAAGGAAGTTATATATATATCATATTGCACTACTATATAAATTATAATTTTATCATAAAAGTTTGTTACAAATTAACGTAATAAAAATATTTAATTTTTTGTGATTAATATTGCAAAAATCTATTACTTGTTATGATATTTTTTATCACATTAATTTATGACGAGATTACATATTATATGATTGACGTCATACAAATTTTATGATAAATTATATATTTTTGTGGTAGGTTTGCATAT